AGAGTTGTTGTCTTTGCCCTATTTGTTGGAAATTCAAATCAAAACAGGTTGTAAATGGCAGCTGCTAGCTGTTAGTTTCTTTACAGGTTGTATTCACACTTGCTGCAACTACAAAGACTAAAGTTTCCTCCATGTGCCAGCTGAAAGTGTGTTGAAAGACAGTAGCTGTGTGCTGCCATGTGATGTGCTAGCCGAAACTATGTTGATTGCAAGCTGGAAAGATAGCTGCATGTGTGTGCTAGATTGTCCAAAGTCCATATGATCTGTTTGTATGTGTTGTTGTGTTTATTTTATTAAAAGCACTTAAGTACTCATTCTTTTCTGCTTGTATAAATAAGCAGCCCGTAAGGCTTTAGGAATTTATATCTTTGAATTGTCATTCCATTTCAGAAGTGTGTTTGCAAACTTTTAAATATATCAAAGTGCATTGTTTGCCAAAGCTTTTAGCTTCCCTCCTTTCTCTATTTCTTTGTCCAATTTTATTAAGAGTGCAAAGTGAGAGGTGTGATAGAGTTTGTAAACTTATCACCCACATATTTTGGTATTGAGTTAGTAAACTTTTCAATACCAACAATTGGTATCAGAGCCAGAATACCATTCTGGCAGGTGCAGCAGTTATGGCATCCAACTTAGTGCAACTCCAAGTTCCCACATTGAAGAAAGAAAATTATGAAAGATGGTGCATCCAATTCAAAGCATTGTTTGGATCACAAGAGCTATGGGAAGTTGTCAGTAGTGGGTATGTTGTACCCACTACCGAGCAAGAAGCCACATATACTGCAGATCAAAGGAACATTCTCAAGGATTTACGAAAGAAGGACCAGAAGGCGTTGTATCTTCTCTATCAAGGATTAGAAGATTCAACGTTCGAGAAGGTTGTAGAAGCAACAACGAGCAAGCAAGTATGGGACACACTCAGTACAATCTACAAAGGAGTAGATCGAGTCAAGAAAGTGAGGTTACAGTCACTTCGAGCAGATTTTGAAACTGCTCACATGAATGAAGGGGAGAGCATCTCCGACTATCACTCAAGGCTCATTGTGATAGTAAATCAGATGAGGAGAAATGGCGAGAGACTCGATGAAGTACGAGTGTGGAGAAGATACTCTGGTCACTCACATCTAAGTTTGAGCATGTGGTGACTGCAATTGAGGAATCCAAGGATTTGGAGGCGATGAGCGCAGAGGAGCTACTAGGATCCCTCCTAGTTCACGAGCAACGCATTCAGAAGAATGCAAGCCCCACAACGCTAGAGCAAGCTTTGGAGTCAAAGTTGAATATTGACAAACCAAATAAAGGTCGTGGGCAGTGGAACTCACGTCGTGGGAGTTCATCCAACCGTAGCCGAGGACGAACTCGAGGAAGAGGTCGAGGCTATGAACAAAACCGAGGTCAATCTCAAGAGTGGAGATCTACCCGAGGAAATGCGCATATCCAATGTCACACTTGCAAGCAATATGGACATTATGCAAATGAATGTTCATATAAAAATGGTGAGCATGTCAACATGGCAGAATCAAATGGAAATGTTGGTGAGGAATTTACAGTCTTACTAGCACACCATGATATCAATAGCCAACAAGATGTTTGGTATTTAGACTCTGGTGCAAGCAACCACATGTGTGGAAAGAAAGAGTTTTTTGCCGAACTCAAAGATGGGCCTTATGGATCTTTGAGTCTTGGTGACTCCTCAAAGCTGCCAGTTGAAGGCAAAGGGAAGATCAAGATCATCTAGAAGGATGGTAGAGAAGAATACATCTCCAATACTTACTACATACCAGGTATGAAGAGCAACATTCTGAGCATTGGTCAACTGCTCCAGAAAGGGTATATTATACATATGGAGGATATGTTTCTCACTCTCAGGAATGCAAGGAGAAAACTTATTGCACGTGTTCAAATGTCAAAGAACCGAATGTTCCCGTTGAAGTTGAACACAAAGATTGGGAGTTGCAACATCGGTGTAATGGAAGATGAGTCATGGAAATGGCATCTTCGATTTGGCCATCTTCATTTCAATGGCCTAAAGTTGCTGTCAAGTGGAGGAATGGTTCGTGGTATACCCCAGATTGAAGTCACACGCCAAGTATGTGAAGGTTGTGTGCTTGGCAAGCAAGCACGACTATCATTCCCTGTTGGTGATACATGGAGAGCAAAGGCACCACTACAGATGGTACACACGGATATATGTGGTCCATTGGATCCTATGTCTTATGGAGGTAATAGGTATTTTATTACTTTCATTGATGATTTTAGTAGGAAGACTTGGGTTTATTTTCTCAAGGAGAAGTCGGCTGCCCTAAAAATCTTCAAGGAGTTTAAGGCACTCACAGAGGCTAAAAGCAACCACAAGCATGTGGCTGTGAGATCAGATAGAGGTGGAGAGTACACCTCCAATGCTTTCCAAGCATACTGCAAGGAGCAAGGAATTAGGCATCAACTGACTGCTGCCTATACCCCACAGCAAAATGGGATAGCCGAAAGAAAGAATCGAACCATCCTTGACATGACAAGGTTCATGCTTAAGGAGAAGAATTTGCCAAAAGAATTGTGGGCAGAAGCTGTAGCTTGTTCGATTTATTTGTTGAATCGATGTCCAACAAAGAGTGTCAAGAGGATGACACCACAAGAGGCTTGGAGTGGATACAAGCCGAGTGTTGCACACCTAAGAGTTTTTGGGTGCGTTGCATATGCTCAAGTTCCAGAAGCCAAGAGAAGGAAGCTTGATGATCGAGGTGAAAAGTGTGTGTTTGTGGGCTATAGTGAAGAGTCCAAGGCATACAAGCTCTACAACCCACTAACTGGCAAACTAGTGGTTAGTAGAGATGTCATCTTCAGTGAGGAAGAGGCATGGAAGTGGAACAACAAAGAAGTCAGTAAAGAAAATATCGTCTCCACTGATTTTGAAGAACCAGAAGTTGTACCACCTGTTGAGCAACAACCTGCTCAAACAAACACAACAACTCCATTGCACAGAACTGCAAGGAGTGGTCCTACATCCAGTGAAGAAAGTAGCTCCTCAACTCCAGTAAGGCTAAGAAGTCTCACCGAAATATATGGACAAGAAGAAGAAGAAGAAACCAACCTTTTCTGCTTGTATGCAGACCACGAGCCTCTCTCATTCAATGAAGCTGTGGAAGAAGATCGTTGGAGAATAGCCATGGAGGAAGAAATCCATGCCATCGAGAAGAATGACACTTGGGAGTTGACAAAGCTCCCACCAAATCAGAAGGCTATTGGTGTCAAGTGGGTGTACAAGATCAAACGCACTGCAGATGGGAGTGTGGATCGATACAAATCAAGGCTTGTAGCAAAGGGCTACAAACAGAAGTATGGAGTGGACTATGATGAAGTCTATGCTCCAGTTGCAAGACTTGACACGGTAAGATTGCTAATCTCTCTTGCCGCTCATCATAAATGGAAAATTTATCAACTAGATGTCAAATCAGCCTTCCTTAATGGAGTACTTGAGGAAGAAGTATACGTGGAACAACCAGAAGGCTTCCAAGTACAAGGAGAAGAAGATAAGGTGTATCGTTTGAAGAAGGCTTTGTATGGCCTCAAGCAAGCACCACGAGCTTGGAACTCAAGGATTGACAACTACCTTCACCAAAATGGATTTCAAAAATGTCCATACGAGCATTCAGTTTACATGAAGAATGGTGAAAAAGGGGAGTTCTTAATTATTTGTCTCTATGTAGATGACTTGTTGTTTACAGGAAACAATGAAGCAATGTTCTGTGAGTTCAAGCAATCCATGTTCAGTGAATTCGAGATGACTGACAATGGATTAATGTCATACTTTCTTGGCATAGAGGTGAAGCAAGAAAGTGACGGTATCTACATCTCTCAACAAAAGTACATGAGAGATATATTGGAGAAATTCAATATGGATAAGTGCAATATTGTCAACACTCCAGTTGCAACTGGATTGAAGCTGTCTAAGGAAGGAAAAGGTGAGTTTGTAAACTCAACTATGTACAAAAGCTTGGTTGGAAGCCTAAGGTACCTTACAATCACAAGACCTGATATAGTTTATGGAGTTGGACTCGTGAGTCGATACATGGAAACACCAAGGGAGTCTCATTGGCTGGTTGCCAAGAGAATTTTGAGGTACATAAGAGGTACTCTAAACTATGGTCTGTTTATAATTTTGGTGAAGATGCAAAATTATTTGGTTATCAGATAGTGATTGGGGAGGTGACCAAGATGAAAGGAAAAGCACAACTGGCTATGTGTTTTTTCTAGGATCAACAGCTTTCTCATGGACTTCAAAGAAGCAATCAATTGTTGCTTTGTCATCATGTGAAGCCGAGTATGTTGTTGTAGCCTCAACAGTGTGTGAGGCAATTTGGTTAAGAAATCTATTGAAGTCAGTGTGTCATCCACAAGTGGAATCGACTGTGATTCATGTGGATAACATGTCTGCAATCAAGCTTGCAAAGAATCCTGTTCAACATGGAAGGAGCAAGCACATTGATACCAGGTTCCATTTTCTAAGGGACCATGTAAAGCAAAAGACAATCGAACTTGTCTATTGTCACACGAAGGAACAAGTGGCAGACATCTTCACTAAGCCACTACCAGTTGAATCATTCCGGCTGCTACATGAAATGCTAGGAATGAAGGCGTTTTGATTTGAGAAGGTGTGTTGGAAATTCAAATCAAAACAGGTTGTAAATGGCAGCTGCTAGCTGTTAGTTTCTTTACAGGTTGTATTCACACTTGTTGCAACTACAAAGACTAAAGTTTCCTCCATGTGCCAGCTAAAAGTGTGTTGAAAGACAACAACTGTGTGCTGCCATGTGATGTGCTAGCCGAAACTATGTTGATTGCAAGTTGGAAAGATAGCTGCATGTGTGTGCTAGACTGTCCAAAGTCCATATGATCTGTTTGTATGTGTTGTTGTGTTTATTTTATTAAAAGCACTTAAGTACTCCTTCTTTTCTGCTTGTATAAATAAGCAACCCTTAAGGCTTTAGGAATATATATCTCTGAATTGTCATTCCATTTCAGAAGTGTGTTTGCAAACTTTTAAATATATCAAAGTGCATTGTTTGCCAAAGCTTGTAGCTTCCCTCCTTTCTCTATTTCTTTGTCCAATTTTATTGAGAGTGCAAAGTGAGAGGTGTGATAGAGTTTGTAAACTTATCACCCATATATTTTAGTATTGAGTTAGTAAACTTTTCAATACCAACACTATTCACCTTGTACTTGCTGGAACATGGGTTGGGATAGGAATAGTTATAGGCAAATTTGACGTGTGTTCCTATAAAAAAACCGTTATTGCTTTTGTGGATCTTGTTGAATATATTGGTCATCTAAAACAATAAACTGCTACCTTCAGTCAGCTAGGTAAGTTATCAATATTATATCACTTAAGTCATGAGACCTTGGTTTGGTTACGATGTTTAGGTACTCTTTATATCCCTGTATACTTGTGATGTTTTCAAATATATGATCTGCAATTTTATATTTGATTTTTCGAACATTGTGTGATTACTGATCATTTATTTGGTGATGTTTTATCATGTTATATGTCCATTGGTCATTGTATTTTAGTCTTCCTTTAGGGATTAAATTTCCTCATATGTGAACGTATATTATTTGAATGAATTGTATACTTCGCTGGAGTTGTCTCAGCCTGGATGCTGCTCACTCATTCACTTTATATATTTGGGCCAATAAATTAATGTCAGAGAGAATATTTGAGGTTTGCAGTGGGATGGAGGGGAGATCTATGGGGAGTGTCAGATTTTTGCTTCCTCTTTGGGAATTGATTTTTAGGGAAATTGAAAGACAGTTACTATTTTGTGATATATCCAAACTGGAAGGCAGCAGTGTTATAGTTTATTTGGAATCTGGTTTGTTGTTCATTGTTATCATGTGTATTGTAGTTTTTTTTAGTTCGGCGGTTAATAAAATTTATATCTCTATCAAAAGAAAAATAAAAAACGAATTCTGACCGTGTTTTGTTTGGATCTTTCTTACTCCAAAAGGTGACTTTTATCTGAGAAAAGTGTGAGGAAATTTATGATATTTGTATTTTGCTTATTCAATTCTAAAACGATTTCAGGGTTATGCGCTGATAGAATATGAGAAGTTTGAGGAAGCTAAGGCAGCAATATTGGGAATGAATGGTGCTAAACTTTTTGGTCAGACCATATCTGGTGATTGGGCTTTCAGTACTGGTCCCCATGGAAGCAATTTAAGTTGTGTTTTCTTTTTAGTATTTTGTGTTATGTCACTAATGGCCTTGATTTTAGTTCTTTTATATCCGATAATTTGGATTGGTTGTTTATAAATGGATTAATTTGTCATGTTTGTCCGAAGAAAGGCTTTCTTACCAAATAAAAATAAAAATTGTAAAGCAATATAACATGGTTATTTAGTTTCATAGTTTAATTTATCTATTCTTCCCACATTCTGTGAAGGGAATAACTTCCATCTTATCACATGTAATGGAAGCTTGTGGCGTTCCTAGCAATTCTAGTCAGATGACCAATCAATTATGGGTCTAATGAATTTTCTCTTCCTAATATTGTGAAAAGATCCGAATTTGAACCACCTTCTCTGCTGATAGAAATAAAAGTTGTTGGTCAGATGCATAATTTATGTACATTATCTATCAGAATATTTTTGTTTTCTGCACCTACTATCTCCAAGCATGCAATTGTCAAGCGTATGTGTTTTAACTATACATACATTGATGGATTGCTCCTTTCGTCTTCTTTGTAGGTCGCCGAACCGTTCCCGAAGTCCAAGGAGGAGATACTGATTTGGATGGTGCTTGTTGCTTGAGAAACACTATCATATTTGTGCTAGCTAGTGACACTCTAAGGATGGTAACTAATTGGCAAGTGTGGATCTCCTATGCCGGGGGTATTGTAGGTTGTTTCGAAAGATTAGGCTAGAACGGAAGTTGTAACACATGAATTTACTAACTACTCTTGGAAACTTTGAGATGGTATGTCCTAAACATCCCTAGTTGGAGTTGCTTTCCTTTATAGCCATTTCTAATTGAGAAGTTTATCCAATTAAATATATACTGCCGCTGTTATTAAAAATGTTGTTTCTCTTTGCAATTAGGTTTTAGCAGGTGTCAATCCCTTTGGTGACATACAATAAAATTGGAACGATACAGAGAATGTTTAGCTGTCGTGGATGATAAACTAGAGTTTGTGTTCTACTAGTTGGATGTAAATGAATTTCCAAGAAAATTCCGTTCACTTCAAAAAGATTTAATTTCAACTTCATGAACAACGAGATTTTAAGTAGAAAAGAAAAAGAAATATGCAACTACGGCAATTGCTTCTGCTACCCAAGCACCACCACCCCTGCCTCCACTGCCACCGTTGTTGCCTTGGACGCCATCTCTTTACCACCAGCGCACCGCTACTCTACGCTGTTACTACCGTAACTATCACTACTATTGCTAAAAGCATTGTCATATCATTGTATCATGGCACTATTAATGTATCATACAACATCAAATGCTTACACTAAGAAATGATTTTCACACATCAATTCATTTTTGTCCTTTAATTCTCTTTTGATTTGTTGAACCAAATATGAAAAATAACCAATAAATTGGTATGCAAAAATCACCTTTTTCTCCTTGTACTATAGCAAGATATCCTAACAGTGTAAGCTTTTGAAATACTGGAAAATTGACATTATCGAATTTGAGATGCCATGAATACATCCATACTCCTGATGCAAAATTATATGTAACATATATCTATTAAGTCATAATTTTTTTTTGGGGTCCCCCGAAATCGGGAGCTTTAGGCGTCCACCTCTTCCTGCTAGGACTGGCCCTGGTACTTATATCACTAATAATGGAAGATTTGAAAGTTAACTAGAAGTTTATTCCTTCAACATTTCATGTATAGTGTTTTTAGAGAAACAAACTTTGTCGCGGCTAAATCACAGATAGGCGTCAAGCGGTAGATAGAACTTATGGCATGTCCCATGTGTATGAGGTTTAACCATGTGAAACACAAAATATGCTACAAAAAGTAAACGCAATGGTAGACACACCAACAAGGACTTGAAACTTTACGTAAATCCCACAAAACTAGAAAAATATTTATGGGGACCACTGGAGAACCACATATATAACTGATTAATCTCTCATAGACATTTTTCTGTATTAACCGTTAGTGCATATGATAAGCTCATATTTATATATATTTTACATCAAATTCACTTGTCTTTTCTTAGTTAGTTCCTTACATTTTTGAGCTTTTTACTTTGTTTTTGTGTTTTGTGAGATTTGATTTTTTTTTAGAGTAAACAGAACTAATTAAGAAAACAAAAAGAAACAACACGGAAACAAATCAAACCAGTTCTTAGTCGAAGGTATGAAAATTTTCAATTTCGTCAGTTTTTCAATCCTTAAATATATATATAAATATGAGCTTATCAGCATACATACATACATACATACATACATACATACATATATATATATATAGTGAGATTTGGTCTCTAAATTATCACCTCAATGAAAATTAGGTTCCTGGATTATTTTTCGGTAAAATATGTCCCTAATTTCATGGAAAACTGCTAATTTCATCCCTAAAATTATACTTAAAGTTATTTTATCCAATTTTTCGTCAACTCAAGTCACATGACGCATTTTAGAGGATATTGCCACTATTTTCTTGCCTACAAGCCCTTCAAGTTACATATAAGTTGTGAATCTAACGTCTACTTTACCCTTCAAAGTTGACTCTATACACTTTTTTAAAAAGAAAATAAATCCTTAAACAATGGAAACTATCAATCTACTCTAAAATGTATCATATACAAGTCACGTGACTTAAATTGACGGAAAATTGAAAATAATAGCTTCAAATCTAATTTTAGGAATGTAATTGGCATATTTTATTAGTTCGAGGAGTCATTCTTTTGAAAAAATAATTTAATGACCTAATTTTCACTTAGGTAATAATTTAGAGAGTAAATCGTTAGTTCACTCATATATAGATATATATATAATTACATACAACCTAAGAAATATATAAGGGAAGCCATGAATAAGCTAAGATGATGGGAACTTCCATGTTTTTTTTTTGGTGAACAGAGGAGGGATATGGGAAGTTCGTTTTATATTAGGTCATGTTTCTCCATATTATTCTGGAAGAGGCCTTTGATGTGTATGGAAATTTCATTTGAAAAGACTTGGGAAAGCAACACAATAATATACAGAAAGTACCAACTAGAAATTTTGTTTTGTACCTATTTGTCTTAGGGAATTTTAACGAAAAGTTTCCGATACTATTCATTTTAACGAAAAACCACATTTTTACACTAAAAAGTCAATCCTGGTACTATTCACTTTACTCTTTATTTTGTCTTTATCGTTAAAACACAAAGTTTTCAAGCCATTTTCATTAGTTTTTCTTTTGTTTTAATCTCTATCCCGTCGAGATAAAAAGCTACCTACAAATGCATATGCACAAGATATTTCTGCACTTAAATACACTTTGGGAAATGGCATTTTAATGCATTTTCTCACTTTTCTCCTTTAATTACTAACAGAAAGCACACACTTTGTGTGTCTGAACAATTTTTCTTAATAAGTGCATATTTTTTTTAATATTACATAATTATTATTTTGTCCTCCTTATGTAAATATTGTGTATCAAAAGTGATGGTAGAATTGGAAAAATAAGTATATGATTATCATTTTCTCAAAAAAAAAAGGTAAAATAGGAAAAATAGGAATATGATTGTCATTTTCTCAAAAGATACAAAATTATTGTTTTTCCCTCTTCATGTCAATATTGTGTATTAAAAGTGAGGGCAAAATAGGAAAAAAAGTGGCAAAAAGTTGATAAGGAGGGTTCTCTTAATAATAATATAGATAAGTTTTATCCTACTTTAGATTTTACTATAGCCAGGTTTTGTGATACTTCTTATGCATTCTTTTGTTTATTTTGAGACTTTCATTCGTTCATTATGCCGACTAAACGAGATGATTTTATCAAGTGCTTCTACATCATATGAGGATCTTGTGCAATATCTACTTTGTATTTACACACTCAAGAGAAGTGTTGTAATTTAAATATTGAATACTGTGTGATTGTATAAGTCTTTGGTTTGGTTTAGCATTCCTATGTAATCTAGTGATTCTATCCTATCAGGTTTTGTATTACTTGAAGAGCAAATATCTCTCTCCTTATAGTTTACTATAAATAAAGGCCCCGACACAAGGAAAACACATCTACAATTTCTCTAAGCCCTATTCTCTCTCTCTAATGCCGCCAACACCATCTCTCTCCCTTTAGTAAATAGACACAACATCATAGATATTTTTCCTATATTATCTGTTTGTCCACATACATATAGAGAGTAATGTTAAGTATACCAACTTTTTTCCCCATCTGCTAACCATGTTATGTGTTACCAATAGAAAATAAGCACATTAAGTAACACTTAAGTAATATTCAATCACCAACAAATATGTAATATAGTTTACAAAATATAATATAAATAGATGATCTCTCTATCATTTGTTTGAGTGGATATTTAATGTTGGGCTTAATGAGAGTGGAGGTCCAAGAACACAAAAAGCAAAGGGAGGATTGGGCTCGGACAAGGCAACATCCCAAGAAGAATTAAAAATCATTTTTGCCAAGGAATAGACAATAGGCATATGAGAGAAGTGACACTCAAAATGGCAGCTCATCCCAGCAAAAAGTACTTTTCGAGGGCATGGATGGGTAAATAAGTGGTGACTCACCACGTTCCAGAGGACATCACCAAAAGGCAAAGCTTGGATAGTCGGGCTAAAATGTTTATAAAAGCAGCAAGGGATCCTAGAGACAAGAACACTCAACCAATCAATCAAAAGACATCCCATTTTTCTCTCAGACAATCAAGAAACTAGAAAGCTTTAGTTTGTCTAGACTCTGTTCTTTTTGTCATAGATTCACCGTAGAAAGCCATCTTTTGTCAAGCTTTAGAAACTCTGCTACTTTTCCCCAACGTTGTAGTATTGAATCACATTAGTAAAACTTGTTTTACCTTTCATTCTCCAAAGATTACAACCCTTGTAAAAACAAAGAGAAGTGACTGCAAGAGGATGAACCTTAAGTAAAGTAGATATGTTGTTTAATGCATCTTCCTTCATGTTTAAAATCATTTTCAACTGCTTTTCGTTCAAAAATTTAATTTGGTGATTAATCGGTCTAAACTAATTAACCTTGCTTCTTTAATGTTAACTGTAATTAAAGAAATAGTTGAAAGAGCCTTGAACTCCCTTTACCTGGACATATAATATCATGAGTAAAAGTCCTTGTTTACAAGGCAAGAAAAAGAATCTTACATAGACTTAATCCATCTGTAACAATCCAGTAAGATCAAGAAGTCTAAGTAACTTGTGCCGCAAGTAATCAACCCAGTAAAAAAACTAAAAAGAACAATTTGTTATCCAAAGATAATGGTGGCACACTCAGATCTATATTAGTTTTGATTGTGAGCCTTAACGCTTAACAAAGACCCCACAAAGGCACCATTCAAACTAATAGCAAAATCATATTACACCAAACCTTACCCGATAAGCAAGACTCTAGGGAGCTATGCAAGGAACGGATCTAGCCCGAACAACATTACTCGTATATATATACATATACATATACATATATATATATATATATGCTTGCATATATGTCACATATGTATATGTATATGTATATGTATACGTATATGTACGTATATATATATATGTATGTGTATATATATGTATGTATCTATATGTATGTATATATATGTATATGTATATATATATGTATGTATATATATGTATATATACGTATGTATATCTATGTATATATATGTATGTATATATATGTATATTTATGTAACATCCCACATCGTCCAGAGGTGTGGATCCTATAAGCCTTATATGTATATTCTCATCTCTACCTAGCACGAGGTTTTTTGGGAGCTCATTGGTTTCGGGTTTCCGTCGGAACTCCGAAGTTAAGTGAGTTTGCACGAGATCAATCCCAGGATGGGTGACCCATTGGGAAGTTCTCATGTGAGTTCCCAGAAACAAACTGTGATGGCGTGGTCAGAGTCCAAAATGGACAATATCGTGATACGGTAGAGTCGAGCCCGGGATATGGTGGAAACCTGGACCAAGATGTGACATATATGCAAGCATATAATTACATACAACCTAAGAAATATATAATAAGGGAAGCCATGAATTAGCTAAGGTAATGGGAATTTCGGTTTTTTTTTGTGAACAGAGAAGGGATGGGAATTTCATTTTTATTTATATTAGGTCATGTTTGTTTCTCCACATCTTTCTGCAAGACACCTTTGATATATATATGGAAATTTTAATTTGAAAAGACATGGGGAAAGCAAATAGAAAGTGCCAACTAGAAACTTTGTTTTGTGGAAAAAGATCCTCGGATCTCAAGAATCTTGTGATCGTGATCGTTCATCGTATATCGTGCGATCAGTTTTCGTTAAATACTATTTATATTTAATTTTAAAATAATTTATGACTGCACGATATACGATAAAAGATCATAATTACAAGATCTTCCTGAAAAGGATCCGGCGATGATGATTTTCCTTGTTTTGTACCTGTTTGTTTTGAATCTCTTTATCCCGTCGAGATAAAAAGCTACGTACACACGCATATGAATAAAGATATTT